TGGGGGGGGGGGGCTGGGCTTCTCCGGCCCCCTCCCCAGTTTTCCAAAGTGGGGCTCTCGCACCGACAAGCGGGGGGGCTCTGCGTCCTCCTTTTGGGGGGTGGGGAGACTCTCTCCCACCAAATCCCTTGGACTCCGACCTCCATCATCCCCAGCCAGCGGCATTGGCCGGGGCAGCGGGAACTGCAGCCTAGAAATGGGGAGGGGTGTTTCTGAGTGCTGGGTTTGAATTAGGGAGCTGAATATTGGTCCCTCATGTTATATGAGGGGTGTCCCATTTTTACCCGAGACCTCAAGGCCACCTCATGTTAGCCCACAACCCTGTGAGGTAGGCCGGGCTGAGAGAGAGCAGCTGGCTTGGCCTCACCCAGTGAGCTTTACGATGGCGTGGAGATTTGCACCCAGATCTCCCCCTAAGTTTCTAATGGGGGGCTGGAGGTGGTTGTCATTATCCCCCCCTTCCACAGCTAGCCGAAGTGGCGCAGTTTTCTTTCTCCCTTCTGCAACGCCAGGAGAGCTCCATCCCGTGTGACCTGGATCTTTTATTCCAAGATAACCGGCATTCAAGCCCAGTCCTCTGGCCGACAAAACCAGCTGTGAAGCTTTAGCCCAACCAGGGGTGCCTTATCCATCAATCTTGGCTTAGCCCAAGGGAGGAACTCAGCCAACAGTAGTTGACCAGCCAGGCTTGATAACAGATGGCTTGAGCTAATCCATATTTTCTAGCAATTGATGCCATCTGTTTCGAGGAAGGAATTTGGAGGTGGCTGGTCGAGGTGGTTGAATCTGGGGGTGATCTTAAAAGAATTACTCTTCCTTCAGCCAGGTTGCTGAATGGTATGAACATCGAGCATGAACTAACTACAGCCATCAGCCGGGAGATACTTCTTTAATTCACACCCTGTGGAGTTTTTTCTCAATGTTTCTTCTACAACCTGCAGCTAATAGATTGTAAATCATGCTTTCCGCTTGTCTCCTCTTAGGAGACGTTGGTGGTTGGGTTCACACGATACCCTAAGCCATAATTAAGTTCATTTGGATGAGTTTTATGTGAGAATGCAGCCGCTGTGATTCATAAACCTTAAATAATTGCTTGGTGTAGTGTGTGAACGGAACATCAAGTTGAAACTCTGGGCCAGGCTGAATCTTTTTGCTGTGATCTTCACCAATCCATTATTCTTAAGAGTCCCCCCTCTGCTTTTCTTGTGAGTGCTCCTGTAGTTGCTCAGGAGTAGGACACACAAGGGCTTGCACCTACATTCTAACCCTGGCTTTGCGGCGAGAACACTTACGTTAGTCCAAGCTTAACTTGTCCACAGGTGGAAAATGGTGAACAGCGTGTGCAACTTTGGGGCAGTGCTTGATGGTGGTGAGAATCGGTACGTTCAACGGCTTGCATACAACTTTTGCAACTTGCTTGCCTTGAGGTACCTGGTAGGAAGAAAAATCTTGGCACGTTTATAACAGTTAATGCCTAAGAAGAGAGTTAAAGGAAAGTGAAACTGGAATAGTTAATCACTGGCCCTGAATGGCCTCCAAAATTGATAGAGCCAAACCTGCTTTGGACTGGAAAGGGTAGTATTTCAAGACTATGTTTAGTGAACTGTGTGTGAACTGTTATGAAGTGCCAAGTTTGCTTGACAGCCTCCTTGAAAGAGAATACTTCCTCTAGCGTAGCTGTTGCACTTCTCAGTTTAATTTGTTTTAAAAGTGGAACTCTGTTTATAGAAACTTTATAGCCTTATCCAGCGTCCTCTCATTTTAGTAGAATTATAGCTTTAATGTGTTTCCTTCCTACTCTTTTCCTAACACAGCTCCCTCATTTGTCATATTGGGATTTGAGATGGCTGCATTTTCCAAGGGGCTCAAAGTAACATCCAGAAAAGTCTTTAAGCTTGAATCAAGAAAGTGTATGCTGGGAGGTGACAAATTGCATGCACATTTTATTCTCATCCTCTTGAGTTCACCGCTTTCCCACTGGCTAGAATTTTCTCTGCCATTGGTGTAACTTCAGTTTCACATGTATGAACTCAGCTATTCTGGTTGTAAAACATGGTTTGTTGGCTGTGTGGAGTGGAGTGAAACCCAGCGTATAACAGTTGATGGTTGATCCACCAATAGTCACAGTTAAATTACAATTTGGAGTGATGTGTGAATTCAGCCTTTTTTTTAACCTGGTATCAAGCCAAGATCTTTTATATTTAACCTTCACCTTTATTGGTGTTTATCCTTTTGGAATTCTCTATTCATTGCCATATTATGGATTCCTTCTTTGTTTTAAGCTATTCTGAGAATATTCTCACTGCTGGCTGGCATGGGAATTATTTTTGGTTTGCCTAATAGTCCTATAACTTGCCTTCTTTCCTTGGGTGGTCCTTTCACCTTTACTGAAAAGCTATAATTACCCCATTTACAAGCTGAAATCATGAGTACCCTGGTTCACGTTCCAGCGGATTCCAAATTATGGGCCAAAGTTTCTTTCCGCTTTGATTTCCCAGTCATATTTCCCTGTTATGCAGCTTTTAACATACTGTACTGGTGAAATTGGCAGTCGCTTTAGCATTCCTGGAATGAAACTGGTTTTCCTTTTGCTCCACCCTCCAAGCATGACATACCAGGAAGTTGTATCATTGCTTTCGCTGATGTGGCACAGCGGCTACAGAGATTCCCTGAGTTGCTTAAAGAGAAATGCAGCTTTTCACCCTTTTCCTAACCCAAAGCTACAAAAGAATGGTTTTAAGGAATAGGAGACTCTTCTAAGTCTTAATGCTAATTTACAGTCCAAGACCAAGTCACAGGAGACTTTTTTTTTTTGGTCTGGGAGAGAAGATTAGGGCCCATCAGAGGTTTTCAATCAAGTTTCATCTCTCCCCTTTTGAATGAAAAGTGGATTTTGCTTTGAAGCCTGTTGTGTTCCAGATAGGAACTGTAGTACTCTACAGACACATCCCCGAGTGAAATGTAGCTGTCAAAAGAACAGGAGATATTGTATTAGTGTTTCATCTGGTCTGCAAAGCCAAGCGGGAAGTATGCATGATTTATTGGTTCTAAAAGGTTTTCACACCCAGCCTTGTGATCAGTCTCCGGAACGGCTTTCCTCCTCAGAATCAAACCACAACACAGAGCAGTAAAGCCTTTTAGATTGGCATGACTGCCCTGGGCCAATTAGCTTTTTTCTTCATGACTAAAAGTAGGCATTTAAGCATCAAGCCGGGGCCATCGTGCAGTTCAGGCAGGGATGTTCTGATGTCCTCTTTGCTCATGTTGCCTTCGCTTTAGGCAAGGTGCTGTTTTTAAAATCGGAGACAGCTTCTCTACACCGGCAGGGTGGGGCAAAGTTTGCTCATGAACCAAATCACAGCGGTGGGGAAAGGTTTCACAGAAACCAGTGGGGAGAGAAGCGGGGCTATTTTTCCGTTCTGCCAAAAAAACAGGCCAGTGAGCCCTTCCGCCGAGTTAACTGAATTTCTTCTTACCGCGGGTGATTTGCAAGAAAAACTGGGAACTGGTTAAAAACCTTGCAAATATTATGAAGCTGGCGGGAAACCTGACTTTGTTTTTCTCCTTGTCTCTCCCTGGTTTTAATTCTGTGCCATTCCCTTTATACTTTAAGCCACAAGGAGGAGCTTAGCTTACTACTCATGCATACAAGCTTCTCCTCTGGAGAGAGAGAGAAAGAGAGAGAGAGAGAGAGAGAGATTTTGCTATAGAATGGTAACTCATGCCATGCCTAAATAAGAAACTCACCCCTCTCTTCTAGAGAAGGCCCATTCAAGTAAGTGTATTGCAGCAAAAAAGGGGCATGCCCTACTTGCATTGCAAGAGTGATATGCTGAAATGTTCTTGTTTTTGTTCCCACAGCAACAATGTCAGAAGGGGACAGTACCGGTGAGTCCATCCATGGCAAGCCTTCTGTGGTCTATAGATTTTTCACAAGACTTGGACAGGTGAGTTGGCAAAAGAGATCCATAAATATCTCTGGAAGGTGCACCCCCTGAACGATAAGTTGAAGCAGAAAGAGAAAAAAAGAGTAGTGAAGTGACTTCTCTGGCCTCTGCCGGGAGGTGGGAAGAAGCGCGTTGGGTGAATCTGTCTAGCTGGGGCTTATTCCACAAGCCACGGTTAGGCCCAGTCGCGGGATTTGTAAGGCTGAGACACTGACATGCCACTTTCAGCCATCAGTGAACGTGCTGAAAATCTAACCTGTGTTTCTCCTAGATTTACCAGTCCTGGCTAGACAAATCTACTCCATATACTGCAGTCCGATGGGTCGTAACGTTGGGTTTAAGTTTTATCTACATGATTAGAGTTTATCTACTGCAGGTAAGAAGAGCTGAGGCTCTCTGACTTAATCTGAGACCCCTGTTGCTGATTAGGGCCAGCAGGTGGTTAATCCATGGCGTGCTTCATTTTGTGCCAGTTCAAGATGTGTTTCTCTGCCCATGTTCTTGGCTTCCCAGGTTAAATCTTTGGACCTTGCCTCCAAGCCCTGAAACCTGTTTGGAATTGGAAAAAGTAGCTATGGGATACACAAAGGCTTTTATTTGTTTATCTTGCTCTGGAGAATTTCACCTGCAGATATATCTGCTGGCAGAAATAGGCAGGCTTGAGGATGGAAATCTAAATCACATCCTTTCTTTTTCTGCCATTTATTCTTACCTTGCTTTGTTCCTTGTTTATCTACTTGCTTTAGTTCTGGGGTTAAAGCCTTGCCGTTTTGTCCCTCGCAGTGATCAGAATGGCTGTTCCTCATTATTATTATTCTCACCGTTGCAGTGTTTCTCAACCTTGGCACTTTAAGGTGTGTGGACTTCAACTCTCAGAATTCCCCA